GGGGCACTCGTGAGAGCTGCGGGCATGCGGAGCTCCGCGGCAGCCACCCTCACTTCGTTTTCTGTTTTGACAGTTCAGTTTGGTTCTACTTTGCGAGAGAGAGGAAGTCAAGTGTCCTTTAAAAAGTCCCTTTCAGAATTTATCTTAGTGACCGGTAAGGATGAACTTAAACTGCCGTGTCATTTGTTGGCGGTGGCGGTTAGAAGAGTGGCTCAGACCGCCGGGTTTCGAACCTGCTCATCTCGCCTCCCCCTTTTTGTGATCTTGATTAATTAAACTCTAAGCCTGAGTTTCCTCATCCATCAGATGGAGATAACGCAGAGCTTTAAGTTGTCAGAATTAAGAAATACCGGTTGCACCACTGGCTTCTTCATTTGTTGTAAAGATCCTTTGAATGTAATACTTTCCGTTAAGCAGGACTGAAGTGGCCTCTGGACTTAGGAGTTTTATACTTTGTTTTGTTTAATCATTAGCACCCTAAGTTGTGTGTTCTTTATTTTACGCTTTGTTCACCTTGAATCTAAGCAAATGATTCCTTAAACTTTGCCGCCGTCTTCATTTCCACTGATTTAAAATGGCTGAGAATGTGCTTAGGAAATTGATGACTCTGCTTTTCTGGGGATCAGCTCTAGTGATGCTGTACAAGGACTGATTCACCTCCCCGCCCCCAGCTGCGTCCTGTGAGGATTCTTCTAGGAGCTTAACTGTGTTGTGTGCATCTAGGTGTTCTGCAGTCCTGACAGGTGACAGGGGCTTTACCATCTTTGTCTTTATCCTGCGTCAACTTTTTTCTGTGTCCCGATACACTTTTGCACTTTCATAATTTTAACTCCCTTTGGGAATTGTGTTTCCAAGTTGTAGTTTCTGTTCCCAGGCCCATTGAATGTATTCAGTAGATTTGATAAGGAATGACTTGAAAAAAATGCATGTTACTCCCATTTCACTTTAGATTATTCTGTTTCCTCCTCAGTTCTGTTACATTGGTAATGGGGTTTTTTCCCCCCCTTGAGGAGAAATATTTGTGGCCCTTAATTGCAATTTATTTTTCACTTGAAATGACTGTTCTGTACTACTTGGAGTTCATATACTATTGCACAGTATATGAAATAAGATGTCCTAATGTTATTTATAAATGTACAGTTGTAGGGGGGAAAGGCCAGTGGGCCAAATTGCCTGTGTAATTTCTTTAGTGACAGGTGACTTTGAAAGACATTTATATGAGGGAAAAAAAGACTAAATCCTAATGAATGCATTTTATAAGACTGAGAGCCTGAGAGTAAAACCGTGGAAAACTTATTTAAATTGTAGGAGAAAGCATATATATGCATATAAAGATTTCTTATTCTTTGAAATGTGTGGCAAAAATGCTCATTTGGAGGAAGATGTTTCAGTGTTGCTGTTATTTAGTCTAGTGCAGAACAGGGAGTGATGAATATGGAAGTCTAAGACCTTGTTCCTTGTCCTAGCTCTGTCACTGTGTATCTTTAGGTTACAGTGTGGTCCTCCATATCCTTCTCTAAAATAGTGAATTGGTCTGATTCCAAGGACTCTTCTAGTTCAGACTTTCAAGACTAAGGGTTTTTAAAGGTTCTTTTAAACAAGGGGGAAAAGGTCGATGTAAACCATTTTAGTCCTGTATTGTGTCTAAGGGTTTTTTTTCTCATACAGTTCTCTCAGACCCGTTTAAGGAAGGGGATATACCTGCATGTTTTCTCTGCTTTTTTGACATGCTTAGCTGTCTTTCTCTATATTCTGTCTCTTTATAGTCTGTATCCGTTGTGCTTGCTTCTTTATAAACTTACTTTGTTAGTCCCCTAACCCAACTTGTTTTTCCTTGTGAATTCTCTTCAGCTTCTTCTGCCAATCCTGGTTTTCTCTGGGGCCTTTTTTTTGTAGGTGGCTGCTGGTAAGGGTTCCTGATGCTAGACTAGTTAGCCGTGGAAGGTGAGATGGGGCCACGTGATGCAAATCATGATTGGCTGATGCTGTGGGCAGGACAGGCTCTGTGATTGAAGTATCTAATATTGCATGATATATTTTAGATTGAGCTCTTACTATAGCTCAGTGATTAAGTAGTTTTCCTTGTGCTGTTACATTTTCTATTTTTATTCCTGCTTGACCCTTTTTTTAATCTACTTTTGTAATTTCCTGTGCTATTATCTTATCCTTCGCTCAAAGATCCCACCTTAAAATGATCTGATTTTTAAGATTGATATTTGTGTATTTTAGCAGGAATTCTAGTGTAGCTTCTATCAAGGCAGCGCATTTTGCTTTTTATTTTTGAGTGCTGTGGATTGAACCCAGTAACTATGCCTTCAGGCGCAAGGCAGTGTGTTTTAAATCTTAGATCTAATTATGAAGTCCTGTGTTAAATTTCTTTCCCCAGAATTAGCCTTAGGCAATAGTATGTAGAGAAAATGTTTTAGGAATGGACCTTATTCCCTGAAATTATATTTCAGAAACAAGTCTGTAGAGGGCTTCTGAGGACTTTTTTTTAACAGAACTCGGCCCCTCAGGCTCTGGTAAGAGTATTGTCTCCCCTTCTTCTTACCTCTCTTTCTTTCTGTCTTCCCTCCTTCCTCAGTATGGAGCCTCTAGGATACTACTCAACCACTTTACCACTGAACTACATTTGCCCCCCCCACTTCTTTTTTTTTTTTACTTTTTAAAATGTAGGGTCTTGCTAAGTAGCCAGATTGGCCAGGCTGGGCTTGAATTTGCGATTCCCCTGTCTCAGCCTCTCAAAGCTGGGCTCATAGGTGCACACCACAGTGCCCAGCTCCTTCTGACTTTTTCTAAGAAACTGCCCCTCTGTCCATCACTTAGAGTCTAATAAGTAATGATTGTTAAAGTGCTAACCTTTGGTTGAGTGAGAGTTGCTCTGCTTGCTAGCTGTTGCCATTGTTAGATAATTTTTAGCTGTAAGTCATAATGGTATAGGGGAAATACTATAACTCTCAACCTGCTAGATGTCAGATATGAGGAGTTCGTGTTGCTCCAAATTGAAGAATGAATTCTAAGGAACAGTGGTGGTTAAGAATAGAGAAACCTGGGCCAGGGATTTAGCTCAGCGGTTCGGTGGCCTGCCTTGCAAGTGCAAGGACCTGAGTTCAATCCTCGGTACCAAAAAAAAGAATAGAGAAACTTGGGGCTGGGGATTTAGCTCAGTGCTTCCACCGTCTGCCTTGAAAGCGCAAGATCCTGAGTTCGATCCCTGGTACCAAAAAAAAAAAAAAAGCCAAAAACCAAAAAACAAAAAAAAAAAAAAAAGCCAAAAACCAAAAAAAAAAAAAAAAAAAAACAGAGAAACTTTATTGAGAGATGGTCACCCAAAAGTGGGTTGCCTCAGACCCCACTTCTCAGAGCAAGTTTTGTAGAGCAAACTCATGAGGTGGGTACAAAATCACAAGGTAGGTATAATGTGGGTCCAAATTGTGGAGTAACTGATGTTTATGTAGAGTTTATTGGACCAGGGGATGCCAGTTATCTTAATCCCCTTGGGAGGTATGTAGGTCTGGTCCTTCCATCTTTAATCTTAAGGTCTGGCCTCCGACAGAATTGCCCCCGGCCACAGCGGAATATGTTTTCATCTTTTGCCCTGACTCTGTGGAGGGCCTATCCCTGTCTGACTGCCTGTAATATTAATACCTAACTTAGCTGTCTAGAGTAATAATAGCACAAAAAGCACAGCACTAAATAAATGCAAAAATGGAATTTGAATGAGAGATTTTTAAGGTAGGATTAGCCATCTGTTAATGTTTTTAATGTTGCTGTTATAATGTTTACATAAAAGAATACAAGGAACTACTTCATAGGTCAGTGTGAAATGCAATGTTTTTAAAACTTTTACTGAAACCCATAGCAAGACATCTTTTTATCTCAAGATTTTATAGTTATATAATTATGTATACATGTGTATGTAAAAATAAGTAAACTGAGAAAAATTTCACAAAACAAAATCTGTAGTGTGTACCATCTATTCTGATGGTTTCTACTTATCTTGATTTTTTTAAAAAAGTGCTAGTTGTAAACTAAATTTTTGTTCTTTGCTTTTGAAAAACACTGGGTCCTGGGTTGAGAGTTGGGATGCTAATTTTTCCTCATTTTGTCATTTGTCAATCCTTTTTGTGCTTCACTTTCCTTGTTTTTAGAAGGAAGGTATTCTGGTTTAAATATATGATGATCCTTTGCTGTTTCTCTAATGTATTTATCTTTAGTTTTCTGGGTAGGGAGAAACCACTGAAAAATTGTTAAATGTCTGGTTGTTTATATGTATGCTGTTTGGCAAAGTACTGTGATAGAACTTTGAATAATACTTTTCTTCAAAGATCTCATAAGTTGAAGTAGAGACATTAAGACTTATATTGCAATAATTAGAAAAACATTTACCTATATCTGTTCTGCTTCTGTGTTTCTTAACAAGGGATATTTTAAAGTTTGAAAAATTGCACTTAAAATACTTGATAGCAGATTTCTGCCTAGACTTTATACCTTGCCTTGTCACTAGTCCTTTCATATTAGAAAACAACATTAAGAATATGTTTTTCTGAAGGAAAAAAAAATGTTTTTCTGTAAAGACTACCATATCAGATCCTTACTGTTTCCAGATATTATCAGACAGAGTAATTGCCATTTTCCTAAGAAGGGGGAACTCAAGGCTTT